TTCGGCCCAGCTTTCTGCCCAAGATCTTGCCTCGCTGCCGGAGGGATGCTGGGAGCGGGGCTGGCGCTGGCGCTGTGCGCCCTGCAGCTCTGCCCGGCCGCGCTCGGAGGGTCGTATCCGCAGCTGCTGGTGGAGCGGAGCGGTTCTCGGAGGCTGAGCAAGGTGAGAGCTTCCAAACCCCTTCACCCCGCTCCTCTTTGGGCAGGGAAGGGGCTGAGGGGGCTGCGTGGGGGGGTGTGTGTGTGTGTGTGCTGGGAGCTCGGCGGGTGGGAAAGCTGTCGTCGTCCTGCTGGGTTTTGCAAGAGATCAAAGGCATTTTCTGTCCCCGAAGGACGAGTGTAAAAGGTTGATTCTGGGTGCCTGTCTGCGGCTGGGCTGGTGGGGGGAGAGGAGTGGGATCCCGTAGACCTGACGGCGTTGGGGGAGCACGGCTGCAGGTTTGGGTTCAGCCTCAGAGCAGGAGGAGATTGTGGTTTTGACAAACTGTTCTGAACCAGAGAGCTCGGCGGCCTCTCTTCCTTCGGCTGAGCTTTCCCTACAGCCTCCCAGCACCTCGGCTTTCATTCTGCCTGTTCGTGAGCATTTTCCAGCTCACCAGCTCAGGCTGCTCCCTCCTTGTTCCCACGCAGCGCTGGGCCGGGCTCATCAACGCTGATTAAGATGCGTGACTCTCACGCGGTGCGGAGGGGAATATCTATTTATTTTCCAGGAAAGCTGATGCTGCCCCAGGGAAGGGGGAGCCGGTTAGGAAGGTTGGAGCGGTGCTCTGTGGCACAGCAATACGCAGCCACACGCTGATGTTTAGCTCCCGTGGAGCCTCTTTGCCTGCAGATCCACGGGCGAGGGGCTCCCAGCTCTTGCTAAATGTCGGAGCGCAACTTGCCCCTTGCCCCGGCTTGTCCTGAGCCCTGTGTCCTGCCCTGTGCCCTAGACCGCTCCAGGCTGGTAAGCGGGACGGCGGGACGGGCTGCTCACCTGTGTGGGTAGCGCTGCCCGCCGGGGCTGCTGGCTGGCACCAGGTAAATCAGCTTCCACCGGTTCTGCGGCTGCTGAGCAGGTAGGGAGAGCCCCGCGCCTGTGGCGAAGGGACACGGGCTGCCCCGACCAAACCTGCTCGGGGTGTGCAGCCCAGGCAGCCTCGTGCTTCTCTGCCAGGAAAAGGCCTGCAATTAGGCTGGAGCCTGCTCAGGGAGGGAGCTGGGGCTGGGCTCTTGCTGCTGGCTTGCAGTAGGTTCAGGGGTGGCTGTTGCAGGCGAGTACCGCCATCCCCTTGCCTTTGAACTTGGGTTATGGGAGCAAAGGGATCTGGTGCTGTTGCCAGCCTGTGGCTTTGCCGGCGGTGGCTGGGCAGGCTGGTGAGATGTGGAGGAAATGGGAAATGTCCCAGCATGGCTCCCAGTCCAGCCACGACACAGGGGTGATGCCCCCCTGCCTGGGTGACATCCACTGCGTGTGGATTTTCATCATCCCATGGGACAACGCTGCTTCCCTGGCTCATTTGGACTGAACCAGCTCAGGATCAGGCCCCTGGGGTGTATCAGGCAGGGCAGGAGCCCAGCTCATCTGCCCCCTGAGCATGAGTGGAGATGGAAAAGCTGAGCCATGTTTGAAATGCAATGTGTGAGTGTGATTCCCACTCCAGTGCAGGACCAGGTAGCTGGAGCCACAGGGCTCGCAACAGCCGGGCTGGTCCTGGCCAAGCCAGGAGGCTGTGCTGGCCCCACAGCCCCCCCACTGCACAGCATCCCCCTGGCCAGTGCAGCCACCACGACCCTGCCCTGGTCCCTGCTTGCTCCCTCACACTTGCTCTCACACACCTTGCTTGATGCTCAGAGGCTGAGCTGAGGCAAGTTTGGAAATTGCAGCCTGGGAACCCTCTTTGGGTATAAAGTACATGCAGGGGGGGCAGATGGAGAGTTTTGGCAATGCCCTCAGGCTTGGAGAGCTGGGAGTGCAAGAAATGCAGAGGGAAATATTTATTTGGCATTTGAAGGGAGGCTGAAGGTCATTTTCTGGCTGTGTTTGTGAGCGGATGTTTGGGAGGGGGTCAGAGGTCCAGCCCTGGGGAAACCTGCAAACCCAGGGCAAGTCTCGCCCTGGCTCTAACTCCTCCTGTCCCTTGGTGCTGCAGGTTGGTGGCTTTGCCTGGGAGAACTGTGGTGACAGGAGGGACCCCGTGGTGCTGCAGAGCCTCTCCGTGGCACCCGACCCCATCAGCATCCCGGGGAGCCTGCGCGTCAGCGCGGCCGTCAGCAGCGGCAAGGCCATGGCCTCCCCTCTGAAGGTACGTGCTGGAGATGCCTCCACGGGACGAGGGAGGGCAGAGCTTCCCAAAACCACTGGCAGCTGCAAAATGCCCAGCAGTGGGTACGGGAATGAGCAGCCCTTGGGAGAACGATGCATGGAGTGGTGCAGGGCTGAGTGCTCCGGGCTCTGTAAGCCAGAATGGGGCAACGGGCAGGCAGAGACCTGGGGTGGGAGCAGACAGCCTGGTGGGAAGCTCCCAACCTTGCTGGGAGAAACCACCTGAGCTGTGTCGTGTCCTGGGGATGTAATGACTCAAGGAGGGAAACGAAACTCCAAGTTCCCTGGGTGCTCTCTGTGGTCATTGCAGCACTTGTTTTTCAGCAGCCAGACCTGGCTGCTCCCTCCTGGGACGTGCTACAGCACCACTGCGGGAGCCCTGGGCTGGCCCGGCTGCCCTGCATCACTTTTTGGTGACTTCTTGGAATGAGACAGAACACGTCTCTCTGCCCAAGGTGCATGGGCTGCCTTGAGCAATGCCACGGTGCCTGTTTGGGGCTGGGGCTGTGAGGAGTGTGCTGGGGGAGCGTGGAGGTGGAGCTGCGGGATGGGAACTGCCGGGAGGTTTTGGGACCAGGCACCAAGGAAAGGGGAAGGAGCAGCCATGTGGCGTGCTGGGAGGTATTTGCTCAAGGTTCAAGCTGAGGTTGGAGGAAAAGAAACCTGTAGGCAGAGAGGAACCAAAAGCAGGAAAGGGAGGTGGGAGGGCGTGCGCTGGCCCCATGGACACCCAAATGAATTGCACAAGCAGAATCTGAGGGAAGTGGCTGGGGAGGTGCAGGTGAGACAGACTGGAGGAGCCGTGGGTGCCTGTACCTGCTGTACTGGTGCCAAACACCTTCCCTCCAGGTGGTGCTGGTGGTGGAGAAGGCACTGGGTGATCTCTGGATCCAGCTGCCCTGCATCGACCAGCTGGGCAGCTGCACCTACAATGACATCTGCACCATCCTCGACAATCTCATCCCGCCCGGCACGACCTGCCCGGAGCCCTTGCTCACCTATGGCATCCCCTGCCACTGCCCCTTCAAAGCGGTACGTCTGAAACCTCTGTCCGGCACGATGCCAGCAGTGCTGCCGGGTACCACTGTCCCCTCAGCTGCAGGGCTGGGGGGTTTCGGCTGACATCTTGCCTACATGTCCCCTCTCTCTGCAGGGCTCCTACACCCTGCCAGCCAGCGATTTCATCCTGCCCGACGTGGAGCTGCCTGCCTGGATGACCAACGGCAACTACCGTGTCCGGGCGGCTGTCAGCAATGGCGGGGAGGAGCTCGCCTGCGTCAAAGTGGCCTTCTCCCTGCAGTCCCAGTGAGGGGCAGGGGACCGTCCCTCCTCTCCCCACCACCTTGGTCCCCCGTCCCATCCCATCCAGTTGCACCCCATCCTGTCCCAACCCATCCCTGCAAGATGCATCCCTCCTGCTGCAGGGAGGAGGCAGCCCCCGTACCCCGGCTCGGTGCTCCCCTCCCCTGCTGCACACAGAAAGGCCCCTCTGACTGTCCTGCTGTCCCCAACCTCATCACCAGGGTGTCCCCTGCCCTGGACAGGGTGGCCTTGGAGCCTAACCCCAGCGTTTCAGTGCACCCTGGGGGTAGTTATTTTTTACCTGTTTCTCTTTTTTTTTTCTTAATCCAATCAGGGCAATTTTAGACAAAAACAATCCAGGGAAAAACAATATTTCTTATAGTAGTCCGTGGGGAGGAGGGAGTGTTTGGGAGTGCTGGGGCAGGCTGAAGGGATGCAGGATTAGCTGCTGAGGGTGTCCCCGCTTGGCCACAGCACCTCTGGCCAGAGCACAGGGCTGTTTTGCAGGAGTGTCCCCAAAGTGGCCGCAGGAGCCATGTCCCGTCCGTCCCCCCCCATCAGCCTTGGGTCTGCCTTTGGCGCATCCTTGTCCTGCACATGGGACCAGCTCAGCAACAGGAGACACTGGTGAGGGCACCTCCCCGTGTCCCTCCTGTGACAAACATTACAAGCACAACAGGACTGAAACTGCCCAAATCCCCAACAGACATCCCCACTCACAAGGGACCAAGTGGCTGGCGCTGCTCCCAGCAGCAGGAGAGGTGGCTGGACACTGGCTGTGCTTGCTCTGGGGGGGGACAAAGCTGTGACAGGCAGCTGGGGCACAGCCTGGCTGAGCACAAGTCCCACTCATCTCATTCTGCCTCTCGGATGGAGCTGAGGCAGAACGCTGCACTGGGACCATTCTTCCCATGCACCGGCGGAGGCAGCCCCACAACGTGGAGCAGCATCATGGACATGGGATGGACTGGGAGATGACCATGAAGACCAGCGGCATGGGTCCTATCTGGGGGCCCTGCAGCCCATCTCCTGGTTGTGGCTGGGGGCTGAGGCATGGGCAGGCAGCATTCTTCCTGCCTGCAGCTTCGGGCAGGGCGTTTGACATGACCTGCCTATGCCAGGTTCCTGCAGGGCAGAGGTGCAGGTGACCCACCAGCCACCTGCATCCCTCGCTGTCCCTGCCTGCTCTCATTATTTAACCCCTCCATAGGGCTGGTCTTCCTCCAAGCACTTTATACGCCTTAACTACTGCCGGGCTGTCCCCGCGGGAGGTCCTCTGCCACGCAGATGTGCTCCCACCGCCTTTCTGTACCCTCAACTCACTCCATTTCGTCCTGCTGCTGGGTCCAACCTGGGTTTGTTTTGCCTGGGGAAGCACTAACCCTCTCACCCCCATCCCTGCTGCCGCCGCGCAGTGCCTGTGCTGGAGTGGCATCCTCCTTTCGGGCAGGTACTGCAGGTTCTTAATAAATCTTTTTACCAGGAAGCGGAGCTGGTGCTTTTTGGTGCTGGGGGTGACCTGGGGGTCACCTGGTTTCCCTTGAAATAGCGGGGATGTGGTTTTGAGCTGGGGGAAGCAAAAGTGGTGTCGGGGCTGGGCTGCGGGCAGCGGTGGAAGATGCTGGAGCCAGAAGAGCTGAGTGTGAGCAGCCCCGAGGCAAGGGGCACAGCGGGGATCTGCAGGCGCTGCTTTCGGACACAGGGACACAGCCCCCCGCCCACGGGAGGCACAGCCCATGCTGGGGGTCTTTGAGGGTGTCGCTCATCCCAGCGACCATCTATCTCCCTGACGCCTGCCAGCCTGCCTTGCTCTGCAGGCCTTGCCCAAAGAATATCCCCGCTGGAGGGGGAGATGCTCCTCTTTGCCCACGCGTGGAGGGGCTCAGGGCTCAGCCGTGCCCGCATTTGCCCCACTCGTGGCAGCGACCCCGCGACCCACAGCCCGCCCGCGGCCACCGCTGCGCCCGCCAGGCGGCGCCGCA